AGTGTGTACAGAGTGTGAAATGCAATGCAGGCAGTGCCTGACACAAATGAATACTTGTCCTATTCCATGCAAGTTTTGGTGCAAAACCTCTTTCTCCATTCATCTTCGTCTTGCCTCTTCATCCCCCATCCCCTGCTACCTAGGGAGTCCCGTGAACAAGCCTCTTGGCAGTAAATTCAGTTCAACAAAACAATCTTGTGAAAAGGGAAAATATAACAGGATCACTTCCTATTTCTTTCTCTTTTCCTCTTCATCAAAGCCTGGGCTGGCTGTCAGGAATGTTCAAAATGAATAAAGCGCAGGAACCCCCTGCTTCAGGAGTCTCATTCACTTACCCTGAAGCTTGGCCCATTCCTTTCCTGACAGTACTCAAGTCAGCAGGCAGAGCAAGAAGATCATTCAAAGCTAATCAGTAAAGTGTAAACCTATTATGAAAGCACATTTACCCCTTGCCTCCTCCTTCCTCCAGAAAAGCAATCCCCAAATCTGTGGGAATAACACACAGTGCACATAAAAGTTGCTATTACTTAGATCCCCTGTTATTAGGTCAGCAGTGCCACTGATGAAATGTTCCCCAGAGCACTGAGCAGAGGCATATAAATCCTCTAAGAGATTCAGAGCATAATTTGTTACAGCTAGAGGGCATAAGATACATTACAGCAAAGCCTGTGTATTATGCTCTCCCCTGTGACTCTGGAGGCTATCTCTAGTAATAAAAAACCTCATCTTGATTTCTGATGCTTTATATTGATTTCTGTACAAAAAAACAAAAGACTTTTTTTTTAAACACAAAGATAGTGTACTATATTGTTCTACATAATGACAGGATCTTTTTTCCTGATGTTCTTTTTTCTTCCCTGCTTAGGGATAAACTCAAGGAAAACTTGTAATTTTGGAGACTACAGTTATGTACTACATAGTGGGTAAATGGTGGAGAAGAGAAGGATGATAGTTCTGGTATATGCAGTGCAAAACCCTGTATGTGAAATTAGAGAATAGTGTCTCTGGTCTGGGACAGTCCTGGAAATGGAAACTAGAATCCCAACTCTATCTTGAAACAGTTAATTGCTCTATTTTAATATAAAACTCATTAATGAAATGGGTAGAATCTGTGTGAGCCATGACTAAAATTGGGAGCAAGTCAGAGCTCTATAATCATAGCAACTCTTAATTTTGAGCACTTGTATACAAGATGTACAAATCACATGGCTAGGTGTGTAGGCACATTGCATGGTGCTTTTTGTTTTATTTCAAACTTTCAGAAAATCTTCTAGTGTGGCGCATGGGGACCAGACAAAAAATTTGGAAAGCTGTATGTAAATAATCTGCTAGCCAAATAGGAGCAGCTTTGCAAAAGTCAACACAGATAACCCTGCTGTCCATCATTGTTTATGAAATAGAGAGCTATATTAAAAACACTCTGCTCTCTGCAGTGGGACTGCTATAAGCAACTGGAACTTTTTCATTTAAACTATTCCTTTGGGTTTAGCTTTATTTTGCCTTTTTAGAACTTTTACCTTCACTAGAAGCTATCTTGGATTCTGAAATGACTGAAGCTATGCCTGTTCCTTTCTTCAGAGAAAGTGATAAATATTTATAGCAGTCCTGCTTCTCACAAGTGGAGAAATTTGATATGTGCTCATTGTTGTTGTAATTTGATAGCAGCTGTGCTGAAAGACAACACCTGCTAATTGTATTTCTGATCACATCCTTTTCCAATTGAAGGATAAAGTGTGGAGGGGAAGCATAAGCTTGGGTTTATTTTTTAGCGCATACAGCAAAATTCATTCAAAAGAATCTTTGTTCCCTTTTAGCTATCTGTTTATTTAACAGACTATGGAAAATGGTAAACTCTGTCAAAAAGCCTAGTTAAAGAATAATTTATAAGCTGCATTTAGATGTTGATCTTGTAGACAGACTTACCGGAGAGCCAAAGTATATCCTGGCAGGTAATAATTAATGTAAATCTTGACACTTCAGATTAGGGCCACTGTTGAGCGCGCCAGGCAGGGAGCAGGACGCGGCTCCTGCTCACATTCCTGAGCGCCTTTGACGTGCTCCCTGCTGAAAGCTTCACTCTGGGACACACGTGCTTCCCACATGTAGGTATCTCCCCATGCCTTTTGCCTATTTTGTATGCGAGTGAACGTGCACGTGGGGAAAGTTCTTTGGGATAGTTAAACAGAGGCCTCCCATGAAGAGTAAGATGGCAGGCAGCTCCCTCAGACTTGTCTCAGTCCCATAAACTGCTGCATGACTCAACCACATTCAGATGAACTAAAGCCCTGGGTGATGTCCAGGCTTTGCTGCAGCTGATGGCAGCTCTCCCACTGATTTCATCGGGGTGGGATTTCATTTATCATGCTGCTAAATCATTGGAATGCCTTTTATCAATAAGAGCTGCTTGGTCTTGGCTGAAAGGTGCCTTACTGACTTTTAGAGAAGATGAGGGACACCTAATTTAGAAAGACAGAGTAACAAGGAATATTATTGTGCACCCTGTTCTGGCTGCAACAAGTCAGGATTAGGAAGTTATGGTCTGTAGTTGCCTGGCACTGTCCCTTTGCTATCAGATGACTAATAGAGCAGTTAAAAGTCTTTAGCTTAAGCTTAACAGCCTATTTATATGCTGGGATGTGGGCCATGCCTGTCTACAGATTTGTAAAGTAATAATCTTTTCTATAGTTGGGTCTGTGGGCACCCCTGGGATCTAAATTTAACCATGTGGTCTCTCTTCTCTTGTATAAGAAGGTTTAGACATTTACACCCTCCCATCCCCTTATGTCTTCAGAGTAGTTGATGCAGAGCAGCTTCCATGAGATGGAGCTTGTTTATAAATGAATAGCAAGGGTTTTGATGAAAGGCCTATTTAGCCATTCCTCTTTGCTGCCCTTGATTGAACGTTGGCTTCAGTGTCCTGCAAATGGCCATTTGGAATGATTGGGATTTCTGGTTTGTGCTTTCTGCTGTTTGTGCCTTAATGGGAAAGGTTTAACTTGGTGCCTCATAACTGTTCTTTTTAAGGAGATTCATGGCTCAGCCTTATCCCCTGGGACCCTGCTTTCTCTTTGCTACAGAAATGTTGCAATTGGTTCACATAATATTTCAGCTAGTTCTCCTCACATGCTACAGACAAGCAAATAAGAGATGAATAGTCTGTGTTAGAGAATTACTATTTGATTAGTAATTTCAAGCAAATGAAATAAAGATCTTTCTGGACCTCATAATGAACTGGGAGTTGTGGGAAGAAACAGGAAACAAGAGCTTAAGAACCCTTAAGAAAAGGGTTAATTTAAGGACTGGGGAAGTGCCCTGTTGTAATAACTTAGGTTTTGCAGATCCACAAATCGTTTTTGAAGGCTTGCTAGATGTGATTTAAAAAAAAAAAAAAGCCTCAACTCTAGGTAAAAGACAAGATTACAAGAAAGAGGATCTATCAATGTACTATTTTTGTGGGTTCTTGTTTTTGTGAATGTTTTTTTCCCCCAAGGAATAATAGCTATTGTATAGCCATGCAAACCTCATAAGAGATAAAGTAGTCAAGGAATAAATGGGAACAAGCATCCTTTTAAGAGCAGGGTTTTATCAGAAGGCTTTTGTGTTTCTCATTGGAAATGGCATCCTCAAGGCAGGTCTAGCATGCTGAAAAACTGGCTGAATGATTAATGGACATGACATAGGTGCACAAGACAAATGTGAACCCTGCAACGTTACCAATCTGTTCAATACATTTAAAAAGAAAGTGATCTTATGCAGAGTAGCTGAAACTTGGCTGGTAAATCCTGGGAGTTCGAGGCCTTGCTTCTTAATTTACTTGAACGTACTAATCCAATGCACGGACTAGATCCTGGAAAAACAGTCCCTATCATGTAAGCAATCTGTATTCTTGGGGATATGGCTTTCCAGTATTAAAGTTGCCAGTTTCTAACTTCAGCTCAACTAAACTTTCTAAGAGAACTACAGGTGTCAGCACTTAGTTAAAGGCAAGAAGGCATGTGCCTAGCTATGGAGACATGAAGTTTCACTGAGATCTGCAGCAGTTCTAAGCAAAGCTAGATTTGAGAGAGTGACTTTAAGGTCTGCCCTCCTCTATGAATATATTTCAGATTCATGCAGACTGCTGGATAACACCAGCCACAGGAACCTGCAATGCAGCAACCACTGAGATGATGTAACTTCTATTAGACGATGTCTAGTAAAAACTTATCATTCTGCCTCACAGAAGACCATGTTATGTATCTTAAAGCTTTATGTATTCAGACAGGGGACAAAAGTGCTCCTAAGCTGTAAGTGTTCTTGTTCCAGTTACAAAGCTAGAACCCAGGGTAATGTGGAGTCTGAGCGTGTCTTCACTTGAATCTATGGGCCTGATTCTGTAAGCAGTCTTTCAAGGAGCACCTCTGGTACCTGCTGGACCACGTAAGGAGTGATGTGCCTTGCCAGATTCTCCAATTAGGAATCCTGCGATGCAGGCATTCTGTCTTGCAGATAGTGCCTGCAACAGTGATTGGGACCACCTCTTAAATGCCTGGAAGCTGCTTTCATACGAGTTGCAAAACAGGCTCTCTGGGGCAAATGGGCTTTTGAAGGGGCAGGTGTTTATCTCCTCTTACCGGCACTCGATGAAACACTGGCGGATTTGATCCTGGAGAGTTTCTTTGATGTCGACCCCCTCTGTTTGTTTCAGCCTGTCTTTGGTGTGTACCAAGGCTTTCCGATAGTCCTCCTCATGTCTCTCCTGGACTTCACCTCGTAGGATATTCACTTCCCTGGCACGCAGCATCGAGGTACTTGTTGTCTGGAAGTTAGGAGGTGGGCACTAAAACGACAAGGGGAGAATTTGGTTCGGAACAGGAATGAATGACAGAAGTACAATACTCAGTGAATCTGAGCTTAAGCCTGATTTTATTTGCAGGAAGCTCGTTAAAAAAAGAGGCACACACAATGGTCCATTGTTAGTGTTTCAGCATTAATTAATAACATCGCAATGTACAAAAACAACATTTCAGCGTGGGATTCTGAGATCTCAATGAGACAGGTGAGAAAACTGCTGTTCAGCAAATGCCAACTTTATCCCTGTCAGAAGGATGCCAGAGATTTTTAATTGAATTTTCAAATGTTTGGACTTCCTATTGGTACTTTTTAATTAGCCAGTATTGTTTTTAATTTGTTCACCTAATTTTTATATGTGCTGTTTAGTCAGTGGTTTCCTGCTATTTTGTTGCAGCTGGTCATATTTCTTTAGGAAATCAACTTCCTTTGTGGAAGAAAATATATAAATATTTATTTATATAAAAAAGAATAAACAACCCCCCCAAACACTAATTAAAAATTATAGCTGCACAAATTTCCCATGATTTGATAATCTTGGCAAGAAGATTCTGCAAGCTGGTTTAAAGTCTTACAATAATGGATTTTCCTTCCTGATTGATTTTACATATGTACATTAAGATAGGTGAAAAAGAAAGTCTTTCTGCTATGTAAATACAGAAGCATGAAAAACATTATCTGCATGGGTGGTCTGAATCTTTGTACTTTCTTGGTTACAATGGCCGACAAAGTTAAGATGTTCCCAGTGTTTTATAAAGTATTTCTAACTTGTAAGTTAACAAACATATTTACAAACTACTTGATCAATTTTGCTCTTACTTTGCAGTTGAGAAGAAATATATTTTCCATTTATGTGAGAAAGGCCCTATTGTACACAGTCAAGTATGCTGAATTTAAGAATCAATTAAAGAGAATGAATGGAAAAGAGAAAAAGTGATAATCTCTTTTTGTAATGCAGTGTATCGTATTGGTCAAATTCTAGTGATCATCTTGCATATAGGTTGCAGCATATGTGAACAAAGCCCAGGACACCCAGAACCTATAGGAATTGCTCCTAAATGAGTACATCTCAGACTAAATTAGAAAGAAACCCTCTTTGCTCTGGTAATGTCTTTTTTCAGTGTGCTTCAAGCGAGAGTTTGAAAGGACCCCTGCAAAGACCAAGAAAAGCTTCTATCAAAAGTTTGGGTAGCTTATGTTTAAAAACTGTTATTTGGTGTTTTTTTCCAAGCTTGGACCAGGTTCCAAAAATGACTAACAAGTGCCAAGCAAATGTGGTTTAAAAACATGCACCGTGGGTTTGCGCCCTATCCAAAGTAAGCGCAGAGGCCACCTTCAGGAAAGGAATTCATGGCCTCACATCTGCACCGTGACTCGCACCATGGAAGAGGAACTGGTCAAGGCCACTGGTGAGAAGCTAATCAGGAGGAAAGGAGGAGAGTGCTCTGCTTTGGAGGTAGCAGCTCTGCAAGCTCTGCTCCTGGGTATGTCACCTGGAGATGTGAGCTATGCTCACTTTCAGTTTTTATATGTCAGGTATTCTCAAGTGTGGTACAACTGGTACTAATAACTATTTAGTTGCATTTCAGCTTAGTCCCATTGTCCCCTTAATGTTACAGGAAACCCAGAACAGCCATCTCTGCTGGACACGATGCTGTTCTGTCAATGTTCCTTTATTTGGAAACAAGAGGAGAATCCATGAAGCCTGGTTTCTAGTTTCATGATCTAGAAACAAAATCTGCTTCCCTTAGACATTTTCCCACCCAGTTATCTGCTTTCCTATGGTAATGCTTTTCTTAGAAGTCCCCTTCAGAGTATTATTGTCCAGAGGTAACTGGTGCCAGGGCTGCTACGAAGCTGATGAGCCAGCCAGGGTCAACATGGTTTTCCTGTTTGTGCATACTACTCGCTTGAGTCTGAACAGATACTGTCTTGCAGCACCCCGAGGACAATCTGCTGCACTTGCTAACTAGATGCTTACTGGGGAAGGCATGTTTTATTGAGAACTGTTTTTTTCAGCGGTTCCTGTCAACAGCACGAGAAGAAAAGTGAACACACAAAAGAGAATAGAAGAGTGTTTCCACGAGCAAAGGTATGGCGGGTGAGTGCTGAAGGCCGCCTTGTGGGCAGAGAAAGCCTCTCATCGTCTTTGGGTGTGAGGCAGTAGAGATGGGATGGAAGTTCTGGTCTGAGGCAGTTCGGTGTGAGACAGACTCAAAGTTCTTGCTGCCTTACTGGCACCAGGCTCCTGAGGAAGGGTACTTGCACTGAGAGGAATGACCAGCTCCTCAGCAAGAGGAGTCTGACTGGTTAATTAAAGGTGGAGTCTCCTAAGATGACTCGTCAAATTAATGGCTTGTTGACAAGGGCAGGGGGCAGCACCTCTGCCTCCACCCTGGGGCTGGATGGTGGTTCCTCTCTAATCTCTCACAGGTTCTGGGGCTCACCTCGTCCTGCAGTGAACCAGTTCAACCCTTAAAAAAGGGCTTTTCTGCCCTCTCTCCCAGCATGAGGCAAATCAGGCAACCATGGCAGCAGCTGATTGACCGAACCCCTACAAGGGAAGCAGTGAGATGTGAGCAGAGCAATATGGATGGCCAGTGTGACAGTGCAGATGAGGGTACAGCTGCTTAGTTCTCCTCAAGCCTTTGTCCTTTGCTTGGCTCCTTCTCTGACCTCAATCCCCAGGGACTCCTGAGAGGGTGGGAGAGGGCCCACAGCGATCAGCTACCAGTCACTGAGTATTTGCTACCGGCGTATCTTTCATCATCAGTACCAAAGCCAGACAAGGTAAGAACTGTCTGAACTTGTAAGAACTCATGACTATGAGCAAGACCAGAGGTAGGAAGTTCTTATCTGTTAGTGCACTAATACAGACTATGTCTATACATGAGTCCAGATGTAAACGCTGGTGTGGACCTGCTCCAGGTAGCTCTAAAACAGCTGGCTCAGACACTGACAGAGAGCTACAGAAAGTGCAAAATCCAGCCAAGGACCTGAGTAAACATTTGTGCAGCTACTGTCACCCAAAACCCCTGTCTCTGTTCTGTGCCATTATCAATAAATCTGCTCATATTAGTGTATGAGCTGAAGTCAAAACCCTAAAACTGTAGTATAGATATAAACTTACAGAATATCTTACAGAAAGAAGCTCTTGTTAATTTGTTCTTGATGTTTTTCTCATTTTCATTTCTGAACATAGTAGTATTAAATAGGTATCACTTCTGCTAAGAAAAGACTCGCAAAAGACAACGTTAAGGCTATACTCTCCTTAGACTCTCTTCTATGAGTATTTTCTAGGTTAAGATGTAATCATTACTCATGTGGAAAAGGGTTCATTTACATGGAGGGAAAGGCTGTTACTGACTTTTGCTTCTATCACAGGGGAAGCAGAGCTGGCTCCAATGTAGGACACTGGATAAAGCTGGGCTCAAGAAGGAAGAAAGGAGGTGTTGGAAAGGAGCCAACAAGATAGGATGACATGGTAGGTATGAAAAGACATTTGATCTGGTGGGAGTCAGTGCTGGTTGGCAAGCTGTTGTTATGAGTAACAGAGATGCATGTTAATAATAAATGACATCCTTTGAAGTTGGCCTAGCAATGAACAGGCAATTGCCAGGCAGGGACGACTCCTCTAGTGCAAAGTTTTGGCAAGAATGCACTTCAGATGGGTGAGGAAGAGCATGAAATGAAGAGCAGAGGTGGTTGTGATAAATGAGTCCTGAAGGATTCATGGCAGTCTAATGTGGAACACACGTAATGCTCCTTGTTTGGATGCGGCCGACACATGTAAGGAATCGAAAGCTGGCTTCTGGTCTGGGGGAGGAGGAGGCATGTGTTGAACAGCAGTGAAAAATCATGCCATCTATGCTTGATTTCAAATGAAATTAATTTAGCAACATAACCATGAAGAGTTCCTGAAGGCCTGTTCATTTAAGAGGATGCAACAGGGAGATCCAGATGATTTTAGTTTAAAATGGATAAAATTGTTTTAGTTACCAGTTCTCTACAATTTGTGTGTTTATGATATGTTTTCATGGAAAATCTTGTCAGATGAAAGATTCAAACTGAGAAGAGAACAGTTCCTAAAGGACTCGTGCAATGGATTTTGTGAAACATTTGTGACCAAACCTTAAAAGAATCTTTTAAAAGTTTGGGCATCTAAATTGCAAAACAGTGTTTTCATATTTTTGCTTTGTAATTGAAGAAAGCAACTGTTATGATTTTCTTTTAAACAGAGAGTTTTGTCCTAGTCATAAAAATATGTCATCACAAAGCTCATCAGTTTCAGAATTCAAGCTATTCTAAAGCCTGCCTCAATAGTGAGGACATATCTGTAAAACTGGGGAACTTCAGTTCCTCTTTCATGATCCCTTGGGCCTTGTAAAGGAGGTGAAGTCTGTGTAACCGCCTTGGAAGGGTTTGTGTTCTCCTGTCAAAGAACAGAGCTTTGAAGAATGCACGAGGCCAAAACAAAAAGGTTTTGGTCACCTGAAAAAAATACGAGCAAATAGGTAGAGAAATGGCTGAAGGAGTACCAAGACAGATGGCCACTGCAAGGAGATGGTTGCAAACAGCTCCAGCAGGACCTGTGAATTGTGGTAGTGCGGATCCATTTTCCACGCACCCACTTGCCTGCTCTAGGGCTCTAAAGGGTTATACTGAGACAAGATGAGTGCTGTTTTTGTAGCTATCTATACTTAATGTGTATGTTAAGACAGAAGCCAATTTATTTTTACCATCAATTCTCTCAGTGCTGCTAATGTTTCTACTTCTGAATCAAAGGGAGGCATTCTACAGTAAAGCACTAATAAATAGCTTTTCCTTGGGGGCAGAAGCATCTTTCCATCTTTAAGAAATTTCTTTGGCCATGTGAAATTCAAATTTGTTAACTTGCCCTACAAACAGCAACTCATTTAGAAACAAACTGCAAATATTAGATGGAGACAGTGAACTTGATAATGCAATGCTGCCACATCAGTTGTAGAATAATGCATCTTAATGAAGGCTTCCCATGTGAATAAACCATTATATTTACAAGCTTTTCACAGTTAATGACCCAGAACTGGATAACGAAACTCACATTTTTAGTGTGGTCCTCTCCTCTGTCAGCAAAAGTATACATATTAATAATTGATGTTGCTGTAAAAATAGGACATAATATGAAGATTCTTGAGGATGTGGGAAAATAGGACTACATGGTCCATTAACTTAAAATGCTTATCTAATGCTTGATGGGCTTTGTCTTTAAAATCCTTGTTTAAATTAATAAGGCAAAATGGACATTTGTCTAAAAGAGAATTTTATTCCAACTCATCAGTCACAAGTATGCTGATGAGAGAGCTGCTTGATCTTCTCTTTATTTCTTCTCGCCCAGTCCTCCAAAGAGAGTTTAGGTTTCACAAAAATGAAAGACTCTTCAGCAGAAGGAAGGAGGAATTCCCACGTGTTAGAGGTAAGCCCCTGTGATGAAGAGCTCCTAACACTTTCCTCCTTAGACTTTAGGAGCTCAGCTGCATAGATCACGCTTTCCTAGGTTAAAAAGTCTGCCTTTCTGCTTAGTCAGCTCAACAGCTCTTTCCAACACAGACTGCTTTATTGTTCATTATAAAACACTTAGAGGTGTGCAGGCTGGCTGAACATGCTTAAGGCTACAGTTCTACATATAGGATGCCCCATGCTGTGGAACTAACTGCTCTTCAATTGTTCCATTAAGACTACACTTACAAGGAAAGATAGTCTTCCTTTCAGTGAAATAAATACGTTTCATTTTATTTCACGTTTTAAGCCTAATATCCATATTATGCCTGAAAGGTAGATTTACTGCAGCTTTTATTACTGGGTACTTAATTCAGGACAGCTTCTTTTCTTTGACCTGAAGCAGCAAGGGTTTTATGGCTTGTCTTTGGTGTATGTTCTGCTAAAGACAGTATTGTCCAAAATTGTAACCTTCAGATGTAACAGTTGTGTAGGCTTTTGCTTTAGTTGCTCGGCTTCTGCTGTGATAGTTTTTCTCCAGAGAATTTTATTTTTGAAGCAAAGTAAGCGGTCTTTTATTTCTACCAGTAGTGAAAGGGGCACTTGGACTTTAGAGATATACAGACGGCTAACTCAGTAGTAGAATAATATGGAAATTCAGAGTCTGAGCAACCAAGGTCTATTTCCTTGCTCGTGACTATTATTGTACTGAACTTTAAACTCTGACCCAAGTTCTCCTTACATGTGATTTAGCTATGTTAGTTTGTTCTGATTTTCTCAATGTATTTTGCCCTGCTGCAG